TGCAGGCCCAGGAGGGGCTGTGACAGAAGATGCCAGTGGTGTGCCTGACTTGGGGCTTTGAAAGTCTCCTTCATTTTGTCTTTCCTTAGCTGCTGACTTTGTAGCCTGTCCTTTACAGTGTCTGGTGCTGGGCGTGTTTGAAGGTCAAAGTATGACCCCTTAGGAGCATTCCTGCAGTTTTCCCACAGGATATGTCCATTGAATAGTGTTTCTACCTACCCATGTATTCTTGGAGAAAGGTTATCTGTTGTAGTAAATAAAAAAAAAAAAGAGGAGTGTTGGGCTATATGTTATTATTATTAGCCCTGAGATTGTCACGGCAGTATTATTTAACCCACTATCACAAATAATGAGACACAGACACTTGTTAGAGTTATAATTGCGTTATTTACCTAGGGCTGGGCGGATATCCTCACCATCCATCTCTCAGTCCCCATCCAATGCCATCTACTTTAATCCTCCTCAACTGGACTACTTCATCCATAATCCCATGGTCTTGCTTTTATTCTTCATCTGGGCTTTTCCATGCTGTTGTTGGAGTTCTTCCTTCGGTCCCACGTGGTTCCTTCTCTACTTTAACCTATTGTGGCGCCCCCCTTTCTCCTCTCTTTCCATCCTTCTGTTTTCTGTGATTCTCTTTGTGTACTCCAAGCCCAGGAACCTTAGTCATGCCTGCGCCATTCCACCCTGCCCAAGTGTAGGCTGTTTAATTAGCCAGTCAGGTTTATACAACAGGGTAAGGTGTGCCCAGATCTTGAGGGCCAGGAATATGAATCAGACCAACTGCCAACAGTTGTCAGAGGTACTGTGTGCTGGGACTGTGTTCTTCCAACCTTGGTGTGCTAGGCTGAGTGGGAGTCTCAGACTGGATGGAGAGGGCAGCTGGGTCTTCCACAGGCAAGATCCCAGCAATTTTTGTCCTAGGCAGGCTTCCTTTGTCACTTTGAAACTTTTTCTGAAGTCACAGTTCTGTCACCTTGAGAACACAGCACAGGGATGGCAGTGATGAACATGGCTTAACTTGATGCACATTTCCTTTGCATGGGAAGTTACAGATAAACAGCTGAGGGAATGAGAACAGCAGGCATGTGAGCCCAGTGCTGTCTGAGCCTGAGCGGCTCAGCTGGCTGGGTGTCTTGAGGCTCTTGTTCTGTGTCTACAGATGCTGCAGGCCCAGGAGGGGCTGTGACAGAAGATGCCAGTGGTGTGCCTGGTCACTGGCATCATGGATCCTGGCTGGCTGTATGGAGAGCCAGCTGCCTTTAGTGCCCTGAAATGCTTTTGCTTCTGTGTTTTCTGTATGTGTCCTGAAAATAATAGATCAGCTCTTACTGCCAAATTGAATTACTGGCATATTGAATTTTTTAAACTATAGTATTTCACTGTGAAACATACTGTGAAATTCACCATTCTGTGTTTAACTGTGCATGGTTCTGAGGCATTAACAGTCTTCAGGACATTGTGCAATCTGTATGCTTTGTGTGTTTTTTTTTTTTTTCAGGAAGTTGTTCAGCTGCCTTTAGACTTTGTGAAACAACTGTGTTTAAAGATACAGTGTGAAAGACCAGGTAAGGGTGTTGAACAGTGTTTGCATTATTTATTTATTTGGGACAGATCTCTCTATGAAGCCCTGGCTGGCCAAGAGCTGATGTGTATTCCAGCTGCCTTGAATGCCTAGATATCTCTCTGCCTCTGCTTCCCAAGTCTTGACTAAAGATGTGCACCACCATGCTTGGCTTGTTTGCAATTTTGAAAGTCTTTGAATGTTCAACTTAGGTTAGGTGCAGGCGTTTTGCAGCAGTTTTGTGCCTGCTCTCGTCTCCTTTTCTTATGCTTACTGGTGGTTTTGCTGGCAAGAACCAGATTAGAGCTTTTTTCATTATGGTCAAACATGTCAAGTCCATGTGTTGGTTGTGAAAATATCTCTAGAAACACTAGCGGGCAATAATGTATAGAATTATCCAGAATAAAATCCTTTCTGACTTTATTCAGAAAATGAAATAGCGATCTGGATTCTGCCTGGGGCACAAGCAGGAGGTGGAAGGTGCTGGAGAGCACGGGCTCTGCTGTTCATGTCCAGGAAGGTGGACAGAGGTCAGCTTCGTGGCTCTGCTCATTTGCTGATGCTCAGCATGCCCATTCATTTCATAATCACAGTTGGAAGTCTGATACTCTTGATGGAAGATGGTGCTGACTTTTGACAATGGGTAGTAGAGATAGGCAGGTCTCTGAGTTTGAAGCCAGCCTGGTCTACACACTGAGTTTCAAGACAGCCAGGGCTACACAGAAAAACTCTGTCTTGGGGAAAAAAATAAACGTGATATTTCATAGTGTGATGACGTGGATTAAGTCTGCTTTTTGGAAGAGGTGGCTAGTCCTCAGGTGGCAAGAGCCCACTTCTAGCAGAGCCATACTGAAGGATGTGGACACACCAAGATTTAGGAAAAGCACCAAGATTTGAAAGGAAGGAAGGGGCTGTAGTACATTCATTCCTTCTTCCTGTTCCTGGGCAAAGAGAGTGGTGGACTTAGGGGCCATTTATTTCCAAGACTCTTCTTACTGTTGCATGTTTTTTAAAGTTCCCCAAGGTCATGTTCAGGTTTAAAAATTGCTTAAAAGGACTTTAGATCTCAGTGACATGCTTAGGATATATACAGTGGGAGTTAAGGATGAAATCTGCCAATTGAAGAGTTGGAGTTACAGGTCCTGGAGAGTCCAGACATCTCTCCCACGCTTGACTGTATGTGACATTGTACAGGGAATGTTGCCTTCAGGAAGCTCTCTAAGCCTCCCTGTCTAGGGTTTAGAGCTTGAGGAGGCTGAGCGCCCACTGATTAACTCAGTTCTTCATTCTCTAGGGATGACAGTATGTGGCCTGATCATATGGCCTAGCCTTTCCACTTCCTTATTGCCTGCTGAGGCTGTTCGGTTTTGGAACCCTCCCCCACAGGATTTTTGTATTATAGGCTGTCTATCTCTTATCTTGACCCTCAGGTGTAACTCTTGTTTTGTCTTCCAGAGTCCCGATGTGACAAGGACCTGGACACGCTCAGTGGTTATGCTATGTGCCTTCCCAATTTAACCAGACTTCAGACCTACCACTTTGCAGAGCACTGGCCGATTCTGTGTGTAGAGATTAAGGTGAGTGTTCATTCATGGTGGGATGACACTATAATTAAAGGAAAGGTCGCTCTCAGGCACTGAGTCTCCTTGGCCATGCCTTGGGTAGGTGTTCAGCCTTCCTCAGGAGCTCAACTAGCTTCCTTCTCATAACTTCCTTAAGCATCCTGCATGCTCTAGTCCCTTTCATGGCTCCCAGACCCTAAGGTAGTTTTCTGTGTCAACAATAGGTAAGCGTACCCCACACACCTGACCTGGGAAAATTGTGGTTAGGGGTCACCAGGAAGAAGCATGTTGGGTACCTTCCCGTACAGGGTGTGTCTCAAAACCTCACTGTTTTGGCCATGTGCTTCCTGCATTGAAGACACAATCCTAGGGTACCTTTTGACCAGAGCCTACTTGTGCAGGAGGGCTTTCCCAGAGGCACAGATGCCTGTGTGCCCCAGAAGGTCCCTGTGTACTGGCCCAGAGTCCTGGATCTCAGACCAAGACTCCCTGCTTCAGCTGCCTGTGTTCCATAGTTGTCCAAATGCTCTACAAGAGCACTCCCCATTACTTCTCTCCTTGCATCTGAGAGGTGATGACCCTGGAGGCAGGCCTTGGCCCAAGTACTTGTGATTCTTGAGGGCTGGATGTTCTGTCTCTCCAGCTGCACTGTCCAGAATGCTAAGCTCAGGCAGTGTGTGCTGACAGCATGCAGATTTTAGAGGGCAGCTGGAAGCCTAGCAAATATCAGTTGGGTGCCTTGCAGGCCATACATTAGTGATGGTGGGAACAATGGTTATGCTTCTTGGAGCTGGGAGCCCTGGGCCCATCTCCACTCATTCCAGTCTGCCAGTGAGAGCACAAAGCTGCTCTGTTACGTCTGTAAGCTAGTCAGAGCTCCACCAGCCTGCCAGTGAGAGGGCTGCCCTTTTGTCCTCTGGAGGCAGAGAGGTTTGTACTAGATGAGGGAAGCTGAAAGCATAATTTCTGGGGACATTTCTACTTGATACTTGTTCTCTTCTATCTCAATGGTGTGTGTGTGTGTTGAGAAGGATGTGCTTTCTCTCTAAACATTTTTTCTTTTATTTTATAGCCAAAATGTGGGTTTATTCCTTTCTCGAATGATGTTACCCATGAGTTGAAACACAAGGTGTGCCGATACTGTATGCACCAGCACCTCAAGGTGAGAGCAGAGTCTGCAGGAGGGCAGAGTGCGGGGTGTCTGGGCCTGAGGGGAAGCCACTTGGAGTTTTCAGAAGATTAAAAGGAATTGCTGATAATCCTCTTTTCATTTCATAAGTAGCTCATATTGACTTTATTAAATCTTCATCTCGTTTATAATTTATATTTGTGTGTGTTATATAGAAGTGTGGGTGCTTGTATGCTTGGAGGTCAGAGGACAGCTTGTGGCTGCATCTCTCCTTCCATCATATGAAAGATCTGCTGGTCAAACTGCTTATGCCACGCTGGCCAATAAGTGCCAGGTTTCCTGCATGTTGGGCAAGCACGCTACTACCTGAGCTTCAGCCCCAGTCCTCATGTGTGTTGTTCCTCCCTGCCCCCTTCTCCCTTGAAGCTCAATTTTCTTCCTCTCGTGGCTCTGCTCTAGATCCCTGTGTTTAAACATATCCTTTCATAATATGCAGAGATAGAGGTTAGAGAGGCTCTGCATGTGACCGGACTGTCTGGCTTTCTGAACTATGCATAATGTTTCCATTTTTAATCCATTTTTCTTGCAGCTCTTATTTTTGACGCTTTTCCCACTTCCATTATGGCTGAGTTGCAGCGCTCTGTGTGCCTTAGAGAGAAGTGGTCTGCAGGCTCTTCTCTGTTTTCCTATGTGGATAGTGCCCTTTTATGTAGAAAGGCATTTAATTAAGTTCGGTTAACATCTTTTTGTTGTTTGTGTCTTGATGTTGTAGCCAAGTAGTACTGCCAGATCCAGTGGTGGCAAACTTCCCCATTTTATTCTAGAGTTTCATTCTTGCTTTTAGATCTTGGGCATTTTGAGTTAATTTTTGAGTATGGTGTTGGATAAGTGTCCAGTTTCATTCTTTTGCACATAATGATATCTGATTTTCTCAGTTCCTGTGTCCCTTTCTCCAGGCATTGGTCCTGGCATCCTTGTTGAAGGTATTTGGCATGTAGGTGAGAGGCTCTTTTCTGGTTTTTTTTCTTATTGGTGTAATTGTGTGTCTTCATGCTAGTACCACACTAGTACGAGTGTGCAGTTTGAGTAGTGCAGTTTTTTATTACTGTTTCCAAGTTACAAGATTCCTCTTTTTTCCTGCCTCCTTCCTCTCTCTTTCCTTCTTTCCTCTCCCTCTGCTTTATCCTTTTTCCTGCTCCTCTCCTCTCCTGCTTTTTAAAGACAGGGTCTCATGTAGCCTAGGTTGGCTTTGAATTCATAAATAGCTGAGGATGATCTCCACCTCCTGTGAGTACAGCCTTAGCTTTGAAGGTCCTGGTGTGTGTAGATGTGGTTATCTCGGAAGTTATCTTAACACTCACAGCTTATCTCTTCTGTTTACTCAACAGAGCTACTGAACCCTTCCAGTTACTCTTAAGTTGTGCTTTTCAACTACACATTTATTTATTAAAAATATTGATTCAGCTGGGTGTGGTGGCACATGCCTTTAATTCAAGCACTCAGGAAGCAGGGACAGGTTGATCTCTGAGTTTAAGCTCAACTTTTGGTCTACAATTTGAGTCGTCTACAATTTGAGTCCAGGGCAGCCAGGACTACACAAGAAACTCTGTCTACAAACAAACAAACAAACAAACAAAATTATTATTTTAAATGATGCAGTGTTTGTATTTGCGTGGCTATGTATATGAGGTGTGCAGATCATAACATAACTTTCTTTAAAAGGAAAAAAGTCTTTGAAAATTTGTTCTTTGACTTTCTATATAAATATGTAATATATATTGGTCATCTACCCTCCCTTATCTTCCTCCTGTCTCCAGCCCCTTTTAATTGCTACTGCTGCTAATTAATTAATTGACTAATTAATTAATCTGTTATTTGTGTATGTATGTATGTATGTATGTATGTATGTATGTATGTATGTATGTATGTATGTATGTGTATGGTGTATAACCCATGAGTGAGGAAGTCAAGGGACCACTGTCAGGAGTTGGTTCTCTGTTTTGCTGAGAACAGGGTTCTCTCTTGTTTCTGCTGTGATGCTTATTCTAGTCAAGCTGGATTACAGGCTTCCAGGAAAGTACCCTGTCTCTGCCTCCCATCTTGCTGCAGGAGTGCTGGGATTACACACGTACTACACAGATAGCTTTTTTGCTTGGCTTCTGAGATTGAACTCAGGTCATCAGGCTTTTTACCCACTGAGCCATCTTACCAGCCAGGTTTACTTTCTTTGAGATAGGACATGTAGCCCAGAGTCACTTGAGACTTTCTTCTCCTGTGTCTACCTCTCGAGTGCTGGGGTCCCCGTCAAATGCCGCACCATGCATGGTTGTCAGGGTTTGTCTAGTGACTTCTCTGTTTATTCTGTAATGGCTCGCTCTCTCTTTCTCTCTCTCTATATATATGTATGTTTTACATTTTATTATTTGTGTGGGAGAGAGAGGTGTGCATAAGTTCAGGTGTGCACATGTTAAGATACACTTGTAGAGAATGGAGGACAGTGTTTGTGAGTCAGTTCCTCCTGTACATTGTGGGTTCTGGTATTGAACCCAGGCTTCCAAGGCTTACTCTGCAAGTTCTCTCCCGCTCTGAGCCATTTTGCCAGCCCCACATGGTCACATGTAATCCTTGAACTCTACTTGATTAGCTTACTGGGACTGATATTTTCTCAAACCAGGGTTGTTACAACTTTTGCTTTACCTTTCTCTTCTATGGAGCCTCAGATAAGCTCAAGTGTGAACTTAGGGCCTTTTTTGATCTTTCCAAACCCTGCTCATGGTTTTCTAGGTTACCAGGAATGTTTTGGAGCTTTTCAAAGTCTCTGTGTATATCCTCATTACTCAGCTTTTTCTTTTTGAGTTTTAAGTTACACTTGCTTGCCCTAATTGTTACCTATTGTATAAGGAAGCCCTGAAGTTCAACAGTAGCCTCTAGATCTTTTTTTCTTTTTTTTTTTTTTTTTGACACATGCCCCTGAAAAGTCTTCTGCAGGGTTTGAGCTCTCAATCAGGTCAGTAAAGACAACCATGCAAGGACAGCCTTCCTGGAATTGTGAGGCAGGACAGGGAATGGCAATAGCCAGAGCTGAGGTTGTGGCTGTGCCCTGTTCTGTGATCATGGAGGCTGCCAGGCTGCTATGCATGTAACAGTTTCATGTTTGTTTCCTTTGGGGCTAGAGATAGTGTGCTGGCTAGTTTTATGTGAGCTTGACATAGGCTAGAGTCATTTGAGAAGGGAGAACCTCAATTAAGAAATTGTTCCCATCAGACTAGCCTGTGGGACATTTTCTTGATTAATGATTGATGTGTGCTGTCCCACAAGGAACAGTGTCACCTCTGGATGGTGGTCCTGGGTTGTATAAGCAGGCTGAATAAACCATGGGGAGCAAGCCCATAAGCAGCTTTCCTCTACGGCTTTTTGCTTCAGGTCCTGCCTCTAGGTCTCTGCTTTGCTTGAGTTCTTGTCCTGACTTCCCTTAATGATAGACCTGGAAGTGAAAGATGAAATAAACCCATTCTTCTTTAAGTCAGTTTTGGTCATGGTGCTTTATCATAGCAATAGAAACCCTAAGACAGACAGAAGGATGAGAATAGCACATTTAAAATGTCAAAAGAAACTGGGCATGATGGTGCACACATTTGGGAGGTAGAGGTAGGCAGATTTCTGTAAGTCAAGGCTAACTAGAGAGTTCCAGGCCAGCTGGGGTTACACAGTGACATTAAAAAAAGTGTCATTTTCTCCCTTTTTTTTAAAAGATGGATTTTCAGTTTTATGTGTATGTTTGGCTTGCTTATATGTATCTACTCCATGTATATATGTACTTGCTTATATGTATATATGTACTTTCTGCCCACAAAGGCCAGAAAGAGGGTATCAGAATTCTTGGAACTAGAATCACAATTTTAAGCAACCACGTGTATGCTTGGAATGGAACTTGAGCTCTCTGCAAGAGCAGCCAGTACTCCTAACCACTGAGCCTTCTCTCCACTTCTTTAGCTGTTTTTCCCCCCCAGTAAATGTTCCCTGGATTCTTAAAGAACTTCAGACATTTTCTGAGGTTTCAAGACTTATTCTGGGAAGTTCACGCCCAGCTTATGTGCTAGGTTGTTTAAGAATATATTTTAAAACTGGAAAATAGTTGGAACTACCTTCCTTCAAGGGTGGTTCATGTTAACAGTTTGGTGATCTTTTCAGACATGTTCATACACTAACAATACATACATACATACAAGGGGTGATACCTCTTTGTGGAGGAATTTACTGCTGTCATATTGGTGTTTTACCAGGTAGCAACTGGAAAGTGGAAGAAAATAAGTAAATACTGTCCCCTTGATCTCTACTCAGGGTAAGTGTCACTTCTCATTTTTTGTCTTAGGTTGGGTGGTGCCTGCTAAGGGACAGCCTATAAGGTGGGATTTTGAGGGTTATTCTGTGAGGTGTTGATGTTGTGTGTGGGGGAGAAAGAGGGGGTGGAGGATTAGAGGCATGTTCTGTGAAGTAGGGCTTCCATGAGGGAGGGCCTGAAGGCTCAGGTGAGGAGGATGGGTTATTTTGTACTATGGGGAAAATAGGGAGTATTCTGTAAGCTGCTGGTAGGTATTATCTGAAGTGTTGATAGTGGGGTATCTTCTGTAAGGTGGGGGTGTTTGTGAGGTTGGAAAAATATATATGGAGGTTCTGTGAGGTGGTAAATGTTGGGTTTGGTGAGGTGGGAAAATGGGTGGTACTATGTGAGGTGGATATGGGCCCCTGTTCTGTGTAAAGGGCTCTTTGCTTATTCCAGAAAACAAAATGTTGTTTTTACTGTGAGAACCAAATCAGGTTGGCAGTGTATTTAGGGAGAATTATGCTTGATTTACCTGTACACACAAGGCTGCATGTTTTGAAGCAAACAGTAACACAGAGTATTGTTGAAAATTTGTGACTTGTCAAACCTGAGTCAGCAGCTGTTCTTAGACTAGCTGTCTGTCTGTCTGTCTCTATGTAGCTATCTTTTTTTTAATCTCTCTCTCTCTGTACCTACCTACCTTACTTATTTTAGGTGTCTTTAAAGACAGTTTCTCTATGTAGCCTTGGCTCCCCTGGACTTGCTTTGTAAACCAGGCTGGCCTTGTGTTCATATCCATCTGCCTGCCTCTGCCTCTCTGAGTGCTGGGATTACAGGCGTGCACCACACCTGGGCCACTTGGAATATTTATAAATAGTCCTTTCAGAGCTGGCAGTAGGTGACTTTGCTGATGTGTTGTCCCCAGTGTGACCTCAGGACATCACTTGGAATCTTTGTCTGGGGTGGGTTTGTCGTCTTGGGAGCCCTATACAATTCATGTGGAAGTGAGAAGTGGGCATTGTTCAGGTGCTTGGGTAAGGTAAGGGCTGGAGCAGGAGTGGCCATGAGGAGGAGACAACAGGTGCCAGTTGCTAACGAATAGGACAGAGGGCAAGTGTATGTGTGTGTGGGGGCGACTGTCCTACAGCTCTCCAAGGTGGAGGAACATGAGAGGTCCCTCTTTTAGGCTTCCTGAACTTCCCAGAGATCTGTCGTAGTGCTCACAGTGCCTGAGTGCATACTCCAGCCTTTGGAAACTGCAGCTGAGGATCAAGAAGGGAGAGATCTAGAAGGTAGAAGGGCTTTGAGTGATTGATGTGCCTTCCTTTCTGGTCCTCCTGCCTCTGTAGGATTCCTCCTGGCTGCCTTTGGGCCCTAGAATAAGCTCCCCTCATAGATTCAGGGCTACAGTTACTGGATTAAGGTAGCTTTAGATCCCAGCCCAGCCTGGAGCTGTGTGTATGGATGTGTAGAGTCCAGGCCTAGCCCACTGCCTTTAATGCCTTCACTGCTTTCTCCTTGTAGAAACAAGCAGCGCATGCACTTTGCCTTGAAGAGTCTGCTGCAGGAGGCGCAGAATAACCTGAGGATATTTAAGGTAAGGGCTATTTGCAGTCCATGCTGGTTTCCAGGTAAACCTACCATACTGGGATTCTGGCCACAGGATCTGTGACTAAATACATTAGGTGTCCAGGCTGGCTTGCCTACCCAGCTCTCTGTGCCTTGACATTGCAGAGGAAGAGAAGGGGACAAAGGAGGGAGGGGGGACAAGGCAGGGTTGGCCTTGGCAGGAGGTGGTGGCTGTGGCCATGCTAAGAATGTATTAAGAGTTTCCTGTGCCATTGTCCTAGTGGGCAGTAAGCTGGACTTGAGGCAGCCTGCAGTCTTGTGTGAGAGAACAGGGCTGAGATGAGCTTTTCAATGCCTGTTTCTTGCTTGGTCTGGGGAAAGGGACTGCTGAGCTACACATTGTGCCCTCTTTGTTGCTGCTGTGTCATAGGCTGGTTTATCCAGATACATTGTAAGAATTTCCTTGCCCTGGAGGTTGCCCAGAGTAATTGGCACCCTCCCCTGCTGTCTTCATCTCCCCAAATCCAGAAAAGAAGACTCGCTTAAAAAAAAAAAAAAGAAAGAAAAAAGAAAAGTGGCCATGACTGTGCACTCACTGTAGTGCTTGTGTGGTGACAGGACAGCCCTTGGGAGTCAGTTCTTTCTGCAGTGGGATCTGGAGATCGAGTTAGGGTTACCACTGGGTTACTCTTCTTAAGAGTTTAGGAACCTGACATTTGAATTCTGGCGATAAGTGCTTTTAACTCTGAAGCCATTTCTGAGCCTGCCAGGCCACATTCGAGGTATCTGCTCTGCAGTTTTTGTGGAACCCATGAAAGATTCCAGACATTAGCTAGCACTTCCCCAAGAGGCAGGTTAAGAGAAGTAATCTGCAATGGCTTTTTAAAAATTAAACAATTGAAAAAACTTTTATCTCTTATTTTGTGTGTGTTCACGTGATGCACATGTGTGCTTGTCATGTACATGCCATGGTATGTGTGTGGAGGTCAGAGGACAGCTTCCGGGGGTTGGTTCTGTCTCTCCATCATGTGTGGCCTTGGCTTTAAGGGAAAGTCTTCAAGCTTAGGGGCAAGCACCCTCATCCACAGAGTTACCTTGCCAGCCTTTTAAAAACAGGAGGGTTGGGTGGGATTGGGAGGGGGCTACAACTGGGAAGCAAAGTGAATAAACTGTAATTAATATATATATTTAAAAACAGTAGGGTCACTGTGCAGTGAGTTCAGCACGGTGAGTCCTGGCAGCTTTGGGGCTTTCTGGTTCTGATGCTGTGCATTCACTGTTCCCTCAAATTCTGCAAACCAGCAAAGCAGAAAATTCCCAAACTCTGATGGAGAAAATTCTCCAAGCTTGGAAAAGCTGCCTGGCTGTGCTCAGTGGTCCCACACTGGATCCTTGTGAGAGGCAGTATTGACTTCAAGGAGCCTCTGTTATAGAGTCATCACTCTACCTAGGTTGTGGCTCTGATGGATACCCTATAAGATCTTTGGACAGCATATTTGTATGTGTAAACATTCTCTGGATTTCACATTTACAATGTCCCTCAGGTCTAGGCCCTTGATGCTGTGGTGAGACCTTGCTGTGAGGACTCCCTTGGCCACTTTTGGGCCTAGAGGAGGGACCAGCTTCACCACGATCACAAATGGCCACTGTGGTCAGCCTCTTCCTCCTGCCCAGTATGGTGAACAGCTTACTTTGTCCCTTGGACAGCACTAGACAGGGTCTTCTAGAGAGACTCCCCAGGATCCAGTGAGGAGGAGAACCTTCCCATACCTCTCAAGGGCAGAGACTGTATTCTTGGCTATTACTGCCCTTTTGAGACCTTTGACTTCACACCCATTCATTTGCCTTAGAGTCTTTGCTGTTCTTTTCTAAAGGCATTTCCACCATGTGCCACACCTCTGTGGCGCTCTGTGGTACCTTTCATAAGAGCCTTACAGGTGCTGTGATGTTGTGTCTGCTTGTATTTTGTTGTTCATACAACAAAATATGAACTGACCAGACCCCATTTGGAGAAGATGCCAAGGGTACAGGTCCCAAGGGTAGTTCCAGAGGGCCCACCATATGGCTTAACCATGAAGGCGTGTAGTTCAAAGAGCCTTGGAATGCTCCTGGTGTTGGCCACAGGTCAGGCTCTCATCATAGTCCCAGTGTCAGCAGTGGGAAGCATGTGGCCTTGCTTGAGCTCTGGGAATGACTAAGTCTGAATGCTGTGTGCTAAGGAGCAACCTTTGAGGGTCTAAGGCACGAACGTTTCATTTTCATCTCAGTGATCTTGTCACTCCTCTTGCTACAGGACTTAGTTGGAGGCTTACACCAGCTCTGCGGACTATGGGGCCTAGTCCTAACTCCTAGTCACAGCTTGGGCCCTTAAGTCACTGGTGATTTGTGGACCTTTGTGGCTTTCTGCTGAGCATTTGCTGCAGACATGCTTTGAGATCTTTGTCTGAGGGTGTCAGTCCAGGGAGCTGGCCTGAAGTGTTCGAACCTTTGCTCCTTTGATTTGCACTTAGTGGACTCTTCAGAGGAGCTAGTGTGACCTGTATTCCTCTGTGCCCTGCCCTTGTTGTGTGATCCATCGATCAATCTCCCTTTCTTCTTTTTTTCCCGCCCAAAGAATGGTGAGCTGATTTACGGTTGTGGCGATGCCCGGAGCCCTGCAGCTGACTTGAAGGAGCTTGCATACCACCTGAAGCCCTTCTTCTTCCCTTCCAATGGCTTGGCCAGTGGGCCTCACTGCACGAGGGCTGTGATCCGGGAGCTGGTACATGTTATCACCAGGGTGCTGCTGAGCAGCTCAGACAAAGGCCGAGCGGGAGCCCTCAGGCTTGGTCTCCAGGGCCCCCGTGTCTGTGAAGCCAGTCCTTTCAGCAGGAGCCTGCAACATCAAGGTAGGGCCTGGCCTTCCCCAGTTGGGTTGTGGGGCGTACAGATTCATTGAGACTATCCTTCCCCATGGGTAGCCAGAGTGGCACCTACAAAGTGACCTCTGTGTCCCCGCCTGGCTTTGTGGCACCTCTGGGGGGTACTATCTGGTTGTGAGGGTTCCATAGAATGAGGCTTAGCTGACTCAAAGGGCCAAGACTTGCTTTGTCACCTGTAACTGCGTTTGTAAGCTGCTTGTCACACTTGGACTACATGGTTTCTAGAAATACTGCCTGTATAGTGTGTGTCCTCTGCAGTGAGTCAGTACTTTGAACTATACTTTTTCCTCTCGACCATGATCTTGACTTTGGATGCAGATTCTCCTCAGTCTACTTATGAGACAAGAACTGAGACCAGGAGTACTTTGTAGCTGGGCTGAGCGCTATGGAATGAGGACAGGCTTACAGGACCTCTGGGTCCAGTTGCCTTCCTGGTCAGTAGGAGGGAGGTGGATCAGCCCTGCCACTGCAGTATTCTGATGTCCCGTGAGTCAGTGTGAGTCTTAGGGACTACAGAGACCTTTGAGTTTGACAGTGGTCTGTGACCTTCAGAAACCCCACAAGCTTAGTCTTCCTTGTTGTTGCCCCAGGCCAACTGATTTTGAAGTGATTTTTTTTTTTTTTTTAAACCTTGAGTAAATTTTTTTTTGGGGGGGGGTGTTCTTGTTATGAAAGCAATTCTTTATTTCAAAAATTTTGTTGAAATTAATCCATAGTATGGGCACATCGCTGCAGAACATGTCTGGAAGGACACAGATGGGTGCTGACACTCAGGTGACCTAGGGTCCCTGGGCAGGGGATTAGCAGTGCTACTCCTGCCTATCTCACGACACGCTTAGACTATACTCTTGCTCCGGGAAGGTCTCCTCCAGTCCCACGGCTCCCCAGTGCCACAGTCAGGGATGTCAGGCCCCACATGAAAAGGCACTGAACACAGCGTTGTGAGTGCACGCGTGAAAGGTGGAACTTTGCCTCGTCATCTGTCCCATGAGGACAGGACCTTTCTAGTGCTCTTTTACCCACTGTCCGTGGCTCTTTCTTTAGCTTGTCCATGCCCCTCTCTGTGTGGGATAATGGTTTTTTTGACTCTAGAAACTGGGTCCCAGTTGGTCTGGAAGGTTTGAGGTTGTGGCTGATCTTCTGTAGTTCTGGAACTTATCTTATGTAGAAATGTTATCTTTACATTTAAGTGTAGAGTGAGTTCTAGAGCATGTGATGGAGTTAAAGGGTACTCTGAGTAGGTGTTTGGACAGCACGGGCCCAAAGGGAGAGGCATGCTCTTCACCTTTCTTGCGTGTAGAGCCACTGGGTGTTTAGGGTGGTCTGCATGCCTTCAGCCTCTTAGCATTGTGAGATGTGCAGCGTCTTCCTCAGTGCTAGGCTGGGGCCCAGGTCTTGTCTGTGGTGCCCAGGGTGAGCTCTGCTGTCTGCGCCAGCCTGGGTCTCCCTCTACAGTCTTCAAGTTTGGATAATAAACCTGCTCTCGTTCTCCCCTGATGTTCTTGGTAGGAAAAACCACACCAGAGCACTCGGGGTTACCGAAGGGCTGTCTTCTGTACAAAACTCTCCAGGTGCAGATGTTGGACCAGCTGGACATCGAAGGCCTCTACCCTCTTTACGACCGGGTCGAGCGGTACCTGGAGGAGTTTCCTGAGGAGAGGTGAGGCTGGCACCGGAGGAAGTTATGAGGCTAGGCTGGGATCAAGGATGCCTCAATTCCAGAACAAAACAGACCTCCTAGAACTTGTTCCAAGAGGTGATACAACCAACTCTCTGCCCAGGAAGTCCTTTGCCAGGGGTTGCCAGGGTCTCTATGAGATTAGTTTCTAAGACACTAGAAATAAAGCTGGTATGAATGAGATCATTCCAAAATCCTATGTCAGGGCCTGGCCTGTAGAGGGCAATGTTGTCCCATGGGCTGGCTGTTCCTGGAACACTGACTTGGCAGCTCCTGAGCACCTCTAACTGCCAAGCCTAGGACCCTGGGCCTGCACTGTGAACCCCATGCCCACATCCACAGTGCACGATGGGCAGGATCCTTTTTGTACCTGACTGGCTTATGTTTAAGGCTGAGGGCTGAGCCTTGGCCTTTCTGAGCCCTGATGTTGTGGAAGAAGTTGATGTTGCAGAATCAGACTTAATGAGAGGAAGCAGTAGATCTCTTAGATGCCTTTAAAACAGTGTGGTCATTAGACTGTGCTGTGTGATACAGGATGCACTAGTGAGTGAAAGTCCTCAGGAGCTTTGCCACCCTGTTTATTTGGTGTTGGTGCTTTTCTTTTAGGAAAGCACTACAGATAGATGGGCCTTATGATGAAGTATTCTACCAGAAACTGCTTGATCTGTCCACTGAGGATGATGGGACAGTGGCCTTCGCATTAACAAAGGTGAGTGGAGCCATTGAGAAGCATGCGTTCCTGAGAATTTCCTACCTCCCCTCCACAACAGTGCTAAATAGCTCAGAACTCAGATTTAAAGCACAGTGGCTGCAGCATTTCTCAGATGGGCTGGGCAGAGTTGAGGTGGAATTTCTCTTGGCTCTGTTCTGCCCTGGCCATCACAGGCAGAGACAGGCCCTAGTGCTTGGTGGCTCTGGGCCCCACCTTGTGAGTCCCGATGATTGTCTTCCTTGTGAATGGAGATTGTACAAAAGTCCTGGTGCCCAGGAATTGGCTCAGAGACGGGTTGCTGGTAGCCAGGTTTTCATGTCAGGCATGTCCATCACATGCCCCCATGGCGATTTAACTCAGAGAAATGACCTGTGCTCACCCTAGAACTGTACAAAGATGTTCACAATGCTCTGTTGTTGCTCTAAGAATTGTCACAACCCCTGTGTTTTCAGCATGTGACTCTACCAGGTTAGAAAAGATATTGGCAACTCCACTGCACTTGTTGCAAGGATAGATCAAAGGAGTTCTGAGCAACAGAGCATCCTCAAAGAGTCCAGTGATGACTGTGTGTGTAGCAGCCTTTGAAAACGACATCAATTGCTGGTTGCCAGGGTTTGGGAATTACAGATGCTTGTGGAAGTTTAGAATCCACAAGTGGTGCTGGCTGCAGAGACTTACATGTGTGGTAAATCACACACATGTATTTATAGTTGGAGGATCTGACGGATTATATCAAAGTTATGCTCCTTTCTCATGATGCTACAATGTAGTTTTGAGATGTTACTGTTGCCAGAAACTGGGCAAAATGCTTGAGGGCTTCCTGTGTAAGAACTTGGAGCTTTTTGCTCATCCATTCTCTGTATGACTGTCTGTCTGTCTGTCTGTCCGCCCTGAAACACACTCTCTAGACTGGGCTGGCCTTGAACTCACAGAGATCTGCCTACCTGTCTCCTGAGTATTGGGGTTAAAGGTGTGCACCACCACTGCCTGGCCATTTTTTCCCTCTTTTTAAAATTTTATTTGGTAGGTTTATGCCACAATGCTAGTAGAGGTCAGAGGTCAACTTGAGTGCTTTTTTTTCCCCCTCTACCATGTGGACCATGAAAAAGACCAGCCCTCTTCTTCTCTTTTTGAGGCAGGGTCTCACTGTGTAGCCAAGGGGAGACCTAGGTTGTCCTTTGTTCGGACTCCACCTCCTGAGTATGCCATATCCAGCTGCTCAATTTCTCTTTTAGGATGGATATATGTTGAGGTGCTTGGAACTGGAGATAGTGCTTCCGAAGGCTGAAACTGAGGAGCAGGGAACTGAGAATAACCTAGTGCCAATGCTCTTCTGCTCCTGTTCTGTCTGATAAACACTGTCTTCTCAGGGCACCATTACCCTTCTACTCTGACTTTGTTAGCATTGCCTGGAGGTGGAGTCAATGGGCTTTCCAGGAAGGCCAGTGGCCAATATTCCATGTTAGCTGGGCCCTCTTATCTGTTGGCAGCCATTCAGCATTGCTCTTGGAGTTCAGGACTATCCATCAACAGGACACAAAAGAGAGGGGGTCTCAGAAAATCTTCTCCAGGAACAGCAGTGAGGAGGGGGCGGGGTGAGAGTCCCCATCAACGTGCTGACAGTGTCCCATTACTTCATGGCTTCCGTAGTTCTTTGCTCCACTGATTTGGAAGTTATCTGTTTGTGTTCTTTCCACTGGCAGCATGTCCAACTCACCAGTACACAGTTAAAGTGTAAAGTGACTCGATTGTTTGAGGCCCCAGCTGGCACATGATATAGGACCTGGGGTACTTCAGTTACGGTTGTTTCCCCATGTATGTGCACCCACGTGGTGGTATTGTTTGTCTTGGATTTTCGTTGGGGGAGGTGGGCAGCATGCTAGGCAAGCAGTCTTAGCACCTTGACGTGCTGTTTTCCAAAGCCCCAGTATAGAGTATTGTTTTAGACATGCTTGTCTAGACCCTTATCACTGCCTGACTCAGATCAGTCCCGTTTGTCCTTTTTCTCAGTTTTATGCCATATCCTTTACTCATGTACAATCATATCAGATAAAAAACTTGTTATACTCCTTAGCTGTCATTGTCTTTGTGCCCTCAGTCCTGGCAATTTCAGTCTTTCTATAAGTGTTGAATATAAGTGTGACAGTCAGCATGTGAGCCTTTGTGTCTACCTTTGACTTCTACAACTTTGAGATTTCACTACCTCATTCTCTTTCATGATGCGGCATTCCACCAAGTGGACATACTATGATGCAGACACCTACATCAGTTGATGGGTGTCTCAGTTGCTCTGCTTTGTACTGGATGATCAGTGTTGTAAATATCTGTGTGCAAGTTTTTCTGGCTACACTCTTTCTTCTTCTTCTTCTTCTTCTTCTTCTTCTTCTTCTTCTTCTTCTTCTTCTTCTTCTTCTTCCTTCTTCCTCCTCCTTCTTCTTCCTCCTCCTTCTTCCTCCTCCTCCTCCTTCCTCCTCCTCCTCCTTCCTCCTCCTCCTCTTCTTCCTCCTCCTCCTCCTCTCCTCCTCCTCCTTCCTCCTCCTCCCTCCTCCTCCTCCTTCCTCCTCCTTCCTCTCCTCCTTCTTCCTCCTCCTCTTCTTCCTCCTCCTCCTCCTCTCCTCCTCCTCCTTCCTCCTCCTCCTTCCTCCTCCTCCTCCTTCCTCCTCCTCCTCCCTCTCCTCCTTCTTCCTCCTCCTCTTCTTCCTCCTCTTCTTCCTCCTCCTCCTCCTCCTCCTCCTCCTCCCCC